CCCATTCTGACATTCAGTTTGGAGTTCAGGAGATTGTCTTGACCAGGACCACACCCCTAAATGCATTGAAGCAACTGCCATGTGATTGGTTAATTGCATTAATGAGAAACTGAACAGGTGTTCCTAATAATCCTTTAGGTGAGTGTATATTAAATAATCTCCGTCCTGAGCATACCAAGTGACGTAGAGAATGCGCCCCCCCTCCTCTCAGTTCGGCACTCTAAGAAGTACTTTTGGCCCAATCATCACTCGTGCAGTACGGTTATCTGTGTTTTCAATATTCTATCCATATTTACAGACTGACAATGAGTGCAGATGAGTATCATAAAAACATAAAGTCGGTGACGCCGAAGGATAGGCCCGCCAAGATGGAGGGTAGCAGGGCTGTGCGGCTTTACTTCCAGTCCTCTGCCTTGCAGGTCACGTCAAAAGCGGAACCGATCGATGAGGGATGAGCGCTTTAGCTCCTTGTCCAGCTGACTGGGACATGGTTAGCTTCACATAAGTGTCTCTCAGATAACCACAGAGCCTGCACTCTCCAACCTCCAGACATGTGCTTATATACTGGGACAATGGTCCAGGTTGTTGTTTTACTGGGAGCTCAATCACGGCACAGAAACCAAACATGGTCATTTCTTGAGAGACATCGAGAAGTGCGAGATGAAAATAATAACACGAATACGAACATCTCTCCTTCTCTTCCAATTACAAGACACGTTTCGCTGAAAAACTGAACCCGGGAGCACAATCTTATCTAACTGATCTAACATCTCATTTAAACTGTAACTGGCCCAGCCCACTGATGTGTATCCAGGTCATTCTTTATTGCAGAGAGCATATCCCCAGGCCAATGATAGAATGACATCATCCCGATACGCAGCATACAGTACTTCGGAAACCTTGTTGCTCAGACTTTTGAAGTGTAACATTGACCGTGAAATTAGTAAGATAGTGGAACGTACCACAGTAAATAATAAATAATTCATGGTGTACGTCTCACTTGGAGGATGCTGTGTGTGCCTCTAACTAAGACCATGGCAACAAACACTGGATAAGTAACAATGTAAGACAATAAGTATCCGTACATTTGAAAGTACGAGAAGAGTTCAGAGCATTTAATTACATTGTACGTGGTTTTATTTAATGTAAGCTGATTCTGACTATTCAGAGAGGCTAATAAAAGCTAACATGGTAGATGATAAACGTCACCTTTGTCACGCACAGTCATACATTTTATGACGCTCTTACGCAACAGGGGATGCAACGCGGTGAACATCGCTGCGGCGGAAGGTTGTCCGTGGGGACGCTCACCTCACCTGGACCTCTGTCTGGCTGTTAGAAACTCACCGTGTCATCAGGCACCATTACGCCAGTGGCCAAGACTGTGGAAACACTTCCAATTTTTAGAGATTGCAGAACTTTATTCCAGTTACTTATTTAATTGGTCAGTGTATTATATTTATAAATATTCTTTGATTGTTTGTAAACATTACCGCCAATATTCGGGTAGTAATTTTTCAAGGCGTAATCCCAAAAATGCTAGGTGTTTACACAATTTTGGCCATTAATGTATACAGGTCTAGCCTATACATAAAAAAGTCTCACTAAAATTTTCATATGCATTTATTTTTGCGAAATGTATTAACAATGACCTTCTGTCTCTAATATGCTACAAGTTAGGCCTATGTGACAGTGGGAGATTGAGTGTCCTTCATTCCGGGGTGTTCCCCTGCCCCAAAGGCGGATGTTTGGCTTTAACACTGGCGGGACTAAATCAGCCGCGAACCCGCAAGCCACTTCCACTATGTGTCGGTAGAGACATGTACCTTCAGCCCATAAATCCACTCCTTTCCCCGACTCTGTGCCCTTTGTACCCGGGATAGGGGGAAACCCTGTGAAGACTGCGTACCTTAAAACATTTTAGGGGTGCAAATAATTCCATCTATAGCAAAAGAAAAATATAACGTGTACAATCACTGTACAGTATTTACAAACGGGAATGAGAGAGGTCCGCCACGGGGATGCTACTCTCTGATTTCACCCACCAAAGTGACAAACCCCCTCATCTCAACCTAGTCACCAAAGTAACGCGCTCATGGATATGACCATTTTAGGTGCTCATTCAGCGCGCAGTACAGCTTATGTGTAACTGCGCTTATCGCGGACAGTCGTGTCGTAAAAGTATATATATAAAACCATATATTCATATTACACACAAAGCCGGGAGACCTTGGAGCTGCGGAATTCGGCGGCTGCAGTGCGCCGGGAGCGCCAACCGTGTCCGTGAGTTACCAGGATTAAGCTGAATTCTTCACAGCTTTTAATATATATATATACAAACACTCCCTGTTTTACACAAATAAAAATAAATCATAACAGATTTTTGTTGATGTGGGTGTTTGTTGTAAAAATAAGACCGTAAACCGAATGTGCGTTATTTTATCGAGCCGTAGTGAAAGTCTGCTGTGTTAATGTGTAAAGTGACAGAGAATCGCTGATTATTTTTAACAGCACACATTGGAAGGAGACGGTAAGAACACAGAGATGGCTTTAGACAAAGCGCAGCTGGACCAAAATGGGGACGTGAGGTAAACCGATATTTTTACAGAAAGTTTTCAACGCAAGTTACACAGTTACTGTAATGTCTATTTTAACGGTAGAATTAAGAAAAGATGTCTAATCAGGGCATGACATTACGGCCTCTGTTAGAGGGTAACTCAGTTTTGTTATTTACTCATTTGTACAGGTAACTTTTAAACTATGAAAATGGGTGATATTTGCCTGTTAATATCCATTGCAAAAGCGAAACTGCATCTGGAAAAAGCAAATTTGCTCATAATTTGTATGGATCGATGAAAATATGATCCTTGGTCTGACGGTTATATTACAAATTCTCTATTATACAGTAAGAAAAAAGATAAAGATGGAAAAGAGAAGGAGCCCAAAATGGAAATGGTCAGCCCGTTTGCCATGGTACGTAATAAATGGTTGATGGGCAACTCCGAAAAACTCTCTAACCAGTAAAGATCTATATATAAAAAAGGCATCCTACGCCTTTACTTGGGCGTCTGACTGTAATAAAAATGAATGAGAACGGACTATTTAAACAATTTAGTGTACAGTTATTTGGGGGAGGGGGCGGGCTAAAGACATTTTAATGCATCCATAGCGACGCCTCTGCTTTCAATACATTCAGCTATGTGTAGTACAAAAAAATGATCTATACGGCAATTACGCACCGAAGAAGTAATGGAGCTTAAAGGAGCGCAGAGTAATATGTAGTTAAAAGTATTGTGGTACAAATAGCGCCTGTGCGTAAGTAAGTGTGCGCGTGAGCATGAATTTATGTTTGTGTGCAAACACGCTCATCCAGGATGCATTGACGACTGTGTGGCCTGTTAAAGCAGAAATATGTAGCGCCGAAAATGTGATGGCAACGTCGGGGTGGCTGTCCCTCTGCGGCCGGGCTGACCGGTCCCTTACTCTGTAGCCTTTGACCTTAACCCTTCACTCTACAACCCTGCACAAGTGGCGTGAGATCCTAGGTCGGTATGCATGGGCTGATAAATACATCTAGGTCTAACAGCGTAAGCTCAGAAACAAAGACGGAAAATAAAATCTGAGGGAACAAGTGTTCTGCAGATCTGCACCACTTCGCCCCTGCGCCCCAAAGCAGCACCTGTCTGGCCCAGTTCACAGCCCTGCTGGCTCACTGTCCTCCCCCTTCTTCCAGTTTCGTTTTGCAGACGGCTGGGACAAGTTTCTCTTGATCTTGGGGACCCTTATGGCCATGGGTAACGGTGCAGTGCTTCCCGCGATGGTGGTGGTCTTCGGGGGCATGACAGACTCATTCACCAACGATGCTATGGCTGGCCAGCTGAGTGAGTGGGGTGTTTGTGTGAATGGGGGGGGGGTGCAATACAGGACAAGACAGTGCAATACAGGACAAAGAGCAGTGCAGTGCAGGACAAAGAGCAGTGCAATACAGGACAAGACAGTGCAGTACAGGACAAGACAGTGCAGTACAGGACAAGACAGTGCAGTACAGGACAAGACAGTGCAGGACAAGACAGTGCAGTACAGGCACTCCATCCTTGTTCCCTGCCTTGCACCTGTAGGTTCCAGACCCCCCCACATTCCTGAATAAGATGAGCAGTTACGGAAAATGGATGGATAGATATGTGCAATGGAAAAACTGGCCACAATATAAAATGGCAGATTGATCACAGTATACCGAGTGTATGAACAGTTGTGATACTTCTCCATTTTTGTATTAAAAGTCTAATCGATTGTTTCTCTACTTCAGACTTAACGATGAACGAGACTTTGGGAGAACAAATGACCAGGTACTGTCCATTTTAATCCTTCAGTCGTGCTGTGTCCCGCTACCTCACAGACCTCACTCGTAAGGTTTTCAAACTGCTTTCGAGATCCCTGTCACATAGCAGCGCAGTGCGCAGTCCATCACAACGGAAATGTCGCTCGATGATGGTGATGACAGCGTCTGTGACGTTTCCATCCATCCCAGACATGCCATCTACTACTCGATCATGGGAGCGGCCGTTCTGGTAGCGTCCTACCTGCAGGTGGCCCTGTGGACCCTCTCAGCCGGACGGCAGATAAAACGCCTGAGGAAGAAGTTCTTCCATGCCATCATGCAGCAGGAGATCGGCTGGTTTGATGTTAACGAGACGGGACAGCTGAACACGCGATTGGCCGAGTAGGTTCACATTCCCACCTGGATTTTTAGGACGTCATTCCTGGGTTTAGCCTCAGCCTGGTCTGGAGATGTTAAGCGCATCTTCTTTCATGGTTTGTTTAAAAGGTACGTATCTATTTAGCTGATTTCTCTCTTTTTTAGCGATATATACAAGATTAACGAAGGCATTGGGGACAAGCTGGGGATGCTGATTCAGTCCGTGAGCACTTTCATCGCTGGCTTTGTCGTGGGCTTCTTGACTGGCTGGAAGCTCACCCTGGTCATTCTTGCCATCAGCCCTGTCCTGGGCATCTCTGCAGCGATGTTCTCCAAGGCGAGTCGGCAGCACTCGTCCAGTCGATGGCAGCAGTGAGCATGAGGGAGTCCTGACTTACACCGACTGTCTCTTCCTGGGCCCAGGTCATGACTTCGTTCACATCCAAGGAGCAGACGGCCTACGCCAAGGCGGGAGCGGTGGCTGAAGAAGTGCTGTCTGCAATTAGGACCGTGGTTGTCTTTGCCGGTCAGAAGAAGGAGCTACGGAGGTGCTAAAGAACGGGGCCCGATCAGACAGCGCTTTTCACCTGCACTTGTTTTTCCTGATATTATGAATATCAAAGATGACAGAAATTCTGATTTCAAGAGAAATATACACAGTAATTTTGCTAATAAAAGTTGTAATTATTCTTTTGATGCTGAAGGTGTAATTCGGAATTTTCCATTTTATCTCCTACAAAGGTATGAAAAAAATCTTCGGGATGCCAAAAATGTTGGCGTGAAAAAGGCCATCACAGCAAACATCGCGATGGGCTTCACCTTCCTTATCATCTACATGTCGTATGCCTTGGCCTTCTGGTACGGCAGCACCCTGATCCTGGCTAAGGAGTACACCATCGGCGACCTGCTAACGGTGAGCACGGGTTCCTCCTCGTCCAAACCAGCCGATCCGTCTGCTCTGCTCCCTCTCCGAACTGCCTGTCTTTTACTCCTAAACATCTCAGAATGATAAACATAATCCAGCCTTTTACTACGGTAAGGACTCCTAAATCTGAAGGTGCACCAATCATTTCAAGTATCTGTTACATTTCACCTGAGGCACAACTAAAGTCGACCTTCCTTGTTGACAGTATGAAGGTAAATTTAAATCATTAAAGCGGCCTGGAATATAGATTACATGCGTATATTATTCCTTTGGATGGGCCAATACAGATATACAGTACAGTGCTCACAGAACATCCTGGGACTTTTGCTTAATTCAGTAACCATCTCAAGAGTTTCTGTGAGCACTGTATGCTGAGCTAACTCCAACAAAAATATATTGTATTGTGAAGCTGAATTAGTAGTGATAAACAGTAATAAACAGTAATAATAAGAATCCTTTACTGGCCATTGCACAAGTATGAGTACCGGTGCATAGAAAATCATCGACCCCACCTTGCTCTTCATTGCTCAGAGAACACAGCTTACGGTTAACCATCGTGCAGCACCCCTCCAGCCGGGGATAAGGGCCCACAGCCATGTGACTGTCGACCTTCCAATCACAGAGACCGAGACTTAACCCGCTGAGGCACTGTGGGAGAACTCTGTGTGTTTGTGTTGCTGATGGTGAGATTTTCCTTTACCCAGGTGTTCTTCGCGGTCATCATCGGCGCCTTTGCCGTTGGCCAGACGTCCCCGAACATCCAAGCGTTCGCCAGCGCAAGGGGAGCGGCACACAAGGTGTTTGCCATAATCGACACTGTGAGTCGGCCCTCGGTCTCAGCCACACATCCACACCCTCTGGAATGTTTGATGTGAGATTGCTGGGGGGGGGGTGGGGGTACTGGCTGTATTGTTCATTTAACCTCTTCTTGGCTTGATATCAATACAGCTTATCCTCCAAGTTTATTTTACTTATAACAGGATTAACAATATAATCTACTAACTACTTGTAGTCCGCAATCTAAACAACTAGAGTTAAACAAAAAGTAGTTAATCTACAGAAAAGCTAGATTTTTCTGCGGTAGTTGATCCAGGCAGTATTTCAAGCGCGGCTGAAAATTCTTGAGGATACTAAGCGTCTTTGCGGGTGTCTGAGACCCTCGGAGTTGGTGTCCTGTTGCTTTAGTACCAAGTTTCTTCGGTGACTGTTGCCTTTAGCAGTAGGTGTCCAAAGTGTGGTGGTTTCCACCCTGGTTTCAGGACTGCAGGACCCATAACTGGTCTCAGGTCTTCTGAGGAGCCGCTTCCGTATTCTGGAAGGGTGTGGTGCTCTGGACAGACCTCACACAAGTAATCTTTAATTAGATCAGGACTGAATAAACAAACGAAGGATACACACATGTACCCCCCAAGCAACCGAGAAACGCAAACTAAGCCCTCACAAAAGAAATCAAAATAAATTATAAATAAACCATTTTATGTAGGGTTTTCCTTCAATTGTTTCAAATGAGGAACCGGTTGTTTTGAAGAAACTGTCCCTCAGGATCATGGGCCGGTCTCTTCAATGCGCTGGACAAACCATCACCATACAATGTAGTTATGTTGGGGGGTGTCTGATTCTCTGCTGCTGTGGTAACAGTGAAGGCATGCAGAGCTTCTGCAGAGTGTTCAGCTAATGTACACAGATAACGTCTGAGCTGTAACAACAACCACAACAAAATAAATTCAGTCTGGTGGCTCTTTTTGGATATTTGTGGTTTTCCAGTCATTTCTCTCTAATTTCAGAAGCCTCATATCAACAGCTACTCTGACAAAGGCTACAAACCCGACCTAATTAAAGGGAATATCGACTTCCAGAATATCCATTTCCGGTACCCCTCGCGGCCAGATGTCCAAGTGAGTGAATCTGCCAGCTTTTTGGCAACGATGTCCGGGTGGTTTTCTGCAGTGTCCTGTCTTCAGCCAATGTCCAAATGTTCTAATGGAGTACAAGTATCAGAACTAAATTGTATGCGATCCTACAAAGTCCTACAAAGATGCAAATTCTATATCCTATAAATTTGTACCATATATATATATATATATACACACACACACACACACACACACACATATACTCCTTCCCTGTCACCCTGCCTTGCTGCATATCTGCTTCTGTTATCAGGCCATACAGCCTAACGCTGGTTGGATTTGTCTGCCCACAGGTGCTGAGGGGTATGAATTTGCGGGTGAACAGCGGGCAGACGTTGGCGCTGGTGGGCAGCAGCGGCTGCGGAAAGAGCACCACCGTGCAGCTGCTGCAGCGATTCTATGACCCACAGGAGGGCATGGTACGGTGCCGGCAGCGTCTGCGTGCGTCTGCGTGGCGTAGCGCTCACGGCCCTTACGTATTCCATCAACTTGCTCTGGCACGCAGGTCAGCATCGACGGGCACGACATCCGCTCCCTCAACGTCCGCTTCCTACGCCAGATGATTGGGGTCGTGAGCCAGGAGCCGGTGCTGTTCGCCACCACCATCGCCGAGAACATCCGCTATGGCCGGGAGGACGTGACGCAGGCTGAGATCGAGACGGCCACACGCGAGGCCAACGCCTACGACTTCATCATGCAGCTTCCCCAGGTGGGGGCCCGGGCGAGCACTGGGGCACATGGACTGCTATTCGTGTTACTCTACCACCAAATCTAGGGCCCCATAAAAGAAAAGACCCATAACATATTGTCTAGTTTTCAGTACAAATGTGAAAAACAAGGCTTCCATCCTACTCAGGTTAGCATGGGCTCAGATCGCAAATGAAACTGGGGAGGTATCCAGTGGAACCTAGATTAAAATTTGTTGGCGACTAGGCCACACCTTAAGGGTTAAGAAGCTGTTTCTCCGTACTTTGTTGTCACGTCGAAAATATTTAAATGGTTTTATTATTGACCCTTACTAGCATTCAAAATTCAAAGTTCAAAATGCCTTTGTTGCTGCTGTAGAAGTTTGAGACCCTGGTTGGTGACAGAGGAACCCAGATGAGTGGAGGGCAGAAGCAGAGGATAGCCATCGCTCGAGCCCTTGTCCGCAATCCCAAGATACTCCTGCTGGACGAGGCCACGTCCGCCCTGGATGCTGAGAGCGAGACCATCGTCCAGGCCGCTTTGGACAAGGTTATTCTCTTTGTTTCTAAGAGGACATGTTCATAATCCTGATTTCTCAAGATGCCTTTTATTGAGTGTTCATGGCATCACGGCAGGTGAGGCAAGGCCGCACCACCATTGTGGTCGCCCACCGCCTGTCGACCATCCGCAACGCGGACATCATCGCCGGCTTCCAAGATGGAGAGATCGTGGAGTTGGGGACCCACAGCGAGCTGATGGAACGCAAAGGGGTGTACTGCTCACTGGTCAACATGCAGGCATGTGTGGATCCCACGTCAAAAAGATCTTCAGTGGGATTATTTTAACATTAATGTATTATTTAACATTAGCATAATCATAATAGTTTTTTACTTGGGTCATTTGTGGTAGGAATGGTCCCCTCTTTACAACTCAGCTTCCTCTGGACCTGATGCGGTTTGATCAGATAGTATCACTTCTAGATTTTTCTCTTTGTAGCTGGAACCCCCCTCCCCACCCCACCCCAATATTTAGGACCATCGGTACCGATGAGAAGTTCTCCTGCAGGTCTGTATTTGTGATGTGAGTAACCATCACTGCTCTTTTCAGACGTTCAGGAGCGTGGAGGACACACTGGAGGACGTGATAGAGGCCAGTCTGGATGAGAAAAGCCCGTCCACAAAGTCAGAAATATTCCCCCTCAAAATGAAACCCGCAGAGGGCGACGCGGACGTAGCAAAAGAGGAGGGCCAGGAGGAGAAGGTGCCAGAGGTGTCCTTCCTGAAGGTGCTGCACCTGAACCTCACTGAGTGGCCTTACATGGTGGTCGGCATCTTCTGTGCCATCATCAATGGGGGCATGCAGCCTGCCTTTGCTGTCATCTTCTCCAAAATCATAGCGGTAAGTGTACTTGGGGATTGCCGCACCCCCGTGCCGTTGTACCCTGTCATAGCCGTAAACCAGCCCTTTCTGCGGTTTCCCAATCTAGCTGTAGTGGGGAAAGTCCAAGTGAACACAATTGCAGAGAGGAACTGTTCAGTTTCTAATGGATTTGCTGAACTTCATCCAGTGGTCATGAAGTGCTTCTGTACAGGATAGGCATCCAGTGAATTGACGTTCCTCTCCCCACAACAGCACCAGCATGGTTTCCTCTGTTCCCCTGTAGGTGTTTGCCGAGCCCGACCTGGAACAGGTCAAGTTGAAGTCCTCTTTCTTCTCCATTATGTTTGCCGTAATTGGAGGTGTCTCCTTCATCACAATGTTCCTCCAGGTAAGAAAAATGTGGGAAAATCCAAATGGACATTCTCCATTAGCCTGTCTCCCCAGGACATTCTTACCTCTGATGCTGGATTGCCTGTCTGCCTCCATCATGTTCTCTGTGAAACCCAGCAAATCCTCCCTCTGTCGCTATGGAGATAAACCCGGCTTGAGGATGTATCTCTGAGACTGAGTCTGACTCACTGCCAAGGCTGCTTCCTCAGTCATTAGCATAGATCAGGTCTTAAACTGCAGTGAAGCCCTTCAGTAGATCCCTGATCTTCATCAGCATTATGTTGTGCTGGACCGTCACGCAACTGGCCTGGAGGTTTTAACCAGAGAAGCTGAATCTGGTTCTTGTTTTAGCTGCAAAGGTCTCTTAACCTTTCATTTCTGTTCTACTGCTGTCAGCATTTTCGAATGTCGTGTGTGTTATGCAAAATTATTCGGCATAAAGCGTCTATACTCTATACAGATTTCAGTAGAATTATTGACGTTTTTTTTTCATTATTTAGTAAATTATTGAAAGCTGTAACAAAAAATAGTCTGTACTTTAACTTGTAAGTGTAAATTAATAAGGAAGATAGAGTAAGAGAAAAAGTGGTCTTGAGACAAAGACAGGACTGAAAAACGACAACAGTGATTTTGGAATAATTGAAAAGTGTAATATACCTGGAAAATCTGTTACATTCAAAGTGTGTATAGCTGGAATAAAAATGGGTGTAAAGTGGCTAGGAATAAATATGTAAGTAATTTGGCTTCTTTTGCTTATATTTAATCCATGTTTCTCTCCAGGGCTTCAGTTTTGGAAAAGCTGGTGAGATCCTCACCATGAGGCTGAGATACAGGGCTTTCAAGGCGATGCTGAGACAGGTACGATTGTCTGTTAGGGCACAGGTACGATTGTCTGTTAGGGCACAGGTACGATTGTCTGTTAGGGCACAGGTACGATTGTCTGTTAGGGCACAGGTACGATTGTCTGTTAGGGCACAGGTACAGTTGTCTGTTAGGACACAGGTATGATTGTCTGTTAAGGCACAGGGATGAATGGGACACAGTATGAAAATGGTTAGTCGAGTGCAGGATAGTGTAGTGAGCATGACCGACCCAAGGTCAGGCTCCTTGAGAAAGGCCCCCACCGTTTGGGTTGACAGGGCTGTGTTTCTCTTTTATGATACTGATAAGGGTCTGTGTAAAATCTATCGCCCACTGTTTCCCTCGCTGCCACCTTTCTCTGCTGCGGCGCTGATTGGCCAGGTCGATCATCTGCCTCTGAAACGGTGATGTATTACTGTGGCACTGAAAGCGCTTGACCTCTGTTCTGTATATATCTGGCATTTATTCTGCTTCATGCTAGTTTTCGCCCATGTGACACGGCTACACATGGATACAGCCTCCGGACCTTTCATTTGTGGTGGCAGCAGTCTGTGAAGAAACATCAGGGAGAAGATGGGTGTGATTCTGGACGCCCAAGGACCCGGCAGCGGTTCTGGTCAGCCTTTGTGGTTCTCACCATTTGCTCCCCCCCCCCCCCCCCACTACAGGAAATGGGCTGGTTTGATGAGCCCAAGAACAGCGTTGGAGCCCTGACTACCAGGCTGGCCACTGATGCTGCCCAAGTTCAGGGAGTAGGTCCCGTGTTTGTCTCACTTACATCTCCTTCCTACAGAGAGGCCCTGGCACACTGAGAACTCAGAGCTCACTGACTTACATCTGACTTACGGACGGCTTGTTCGTACAAACAGGCTGCCATAAAGCCTGTTATCTTAAGAATTTGGGTTAAATACAATGATGGCCCGAAATTACAAACGTGCACTGCCTGTAAAGGATAAAAGTGACATGTAGAAGCATTTCAGAGGACATATACACAGCAAAGGTACGGCATCCGTTTGAGCAGTGAAAATGAAAATGTCTTAGGCAGGAAAAGAGACGTGTCAGCTATCTATGTAGGTAGTGAGTGTACATTTGTTCAGGAAAAAAAAACAAAAATTAGAATACAGACAAATCTACAGTGAGAATAAAAAACAAGAATATGTTCTTTTCTCCAAAAAGTTACTTATATCTTGTTGAACGGCTAGATGAACATCACTGCAGATCCCAAACCTCTCCTCAGGGGCACCTCAGCTCTGCATGTTTGTCAGATTTTAAATAAATACCATTAATTTAACTACCTTAAGTAGTTAAATATCTTAATAAGGTATTTCTTAGCCAAACAGTGTAGGTTAGTGGTGAAGGTAACATATCTGTGGATATATTGGACAGTTACTAGAATACTGGGGTGACTTGTGAGATGTTTAACATGCCGACACACTTCAGCATCATAGTTTGACACCAACGTGAAGATCATTTAAACTATTTTCTTTGACTTTTGCACAGTAGTGTAGATTTAGAAGTGGGTCTTGATTTGGTTTGATGTGCATCTCATACGGGACTGGGGTAGGTGGGGGGGGCATAAGGTTAGGAACAGACTCAGTAACAGAACCCCCCCTGTTGGCCAGGCGACGGGCGTCAGGTTGGCGACGCTGGCCCAGAACGTGGCCAACCTGGGCACCTCGGTCATCATCGCCTTCGTCTACGGCTGGCAGCTGACGCTGCTCCTTCTGTCTGTGGTGCCCTTCCTGGCGATCGCCGGAGCCGTGCAGATGAAGACGCTGGCCGGTCACGCCGTGAAAGACAAGAAGGAGCTGGAGGTGGCAGGGAAGGTGGGCTGAGCAGCCAATGGGAAGCTGCGGCTTAGGACCAGGTCATGTGACCAGACGGCCGCCCGTCTCTGATCCCGAATAAAAATACAAAAGCTGTGTGGAGTATCAGTCTGACCCTCAGCTGGGAGTTACCTTGGCAGACGCCTGCATAACATTCATGAAATGTGTTTGTGACGTAACACTGGCATTTTGTCCAGTTAGTGTCCTGCCTTGTGCCCTGTGCTTCACTGAGAGCAGTTGAGTTCTCTGGGACTGTGACTCTTTATGTTTAACTGGTTGGTTAAAACAAAATCTTGGTCTGGATTTTTACTTTCTGCACCTGAACAATCCACCTCTAACTGAATGCCTTATAGTCACTCAATAGATAAATAGTTTATTGAAGGAAACAGACTTAGTTCAGATTTGAAATTATAGACTTTGAAAATTTTCATGTAAACATGAGAGTGTGCATTTGCCGTTTATATTTCTGAACAATGTAATTTCTCCCGAGTTACTCTCATCTGAAACCCTAATGGAGGGTCCTTTTGGGTTCATTTTGCTGGCGTTTCTGCAGGTTGCCACAGAAGCCATCGAGAACGTCCGCACGGTCGTGTCTCTGGGGCGTGAGATGAAATTCGAGAGCCTCTACCAGGAGAACCTCATTGTCCCATACAAGTAGGTGAACGTCAGCGGGTCACGCGACGGACGTCACATGACATGGGGGGAAGCACAAGCCACCGCTCAGCAAACACGTTTCCGTTTGCCAGGAACTCCAAGAAGAAGGCCCACGTCTATGGGCTGACATTCGCCTTCTCCCAAGCCATCGTCTACTTCGCCTATGCAGGCTGCTTCCGCTTTGGGGCCTGGCTTATCGAACAGAATCAGATGGACTTCGAGGGGGTGTTTCTGTGCGTATCTCCGCCGCAACGTGGTCTCATCCTTCTTTAACAAGTAGATGCACACCTGAGGAAGTTATTTTTAAATCGTTATATTTATAATGGTTTATTTACCAGCTGTAATGTTGAGGTGCTGGTGCACCGTGTTAGAGGAAAATTGAAATAGAAAGATTATGTTCAGCACAGCTAATTACAGCAGTCTCAAAAAGAAGTAAGGATTACACAATAATATGGTGACAAATAGAGCACACATCCCACCTACCTTGAAATTAAAGGTAGGTGGGATGGGATTACTGGGATTACTGCACACTGTCCATCACCGTCTGACTCGCCTGGGAGCTGTGGAGCAGAGTGGGAGTGAGTTAAACCAGTCAGGGACTGCCTGTCCACCATAGCCTCATCCACCCTGGATTTCTGCTGCCTGTGTCACCTCACCAGGTAGTCATGTGAGAAACACAACGGAAGAACTATCTGGGAAGTGACGGTTTATCAAACTTCCTAAATATGCAAAATGTGCACCGTCTTATTGAAAAAAACCCATAAAATTTGCATCGCAAGTGAAAAGGAGCTGGTGCAGAACCTTGATAAAGGAAACCCTGAAATCAGGATCACGGTCTTTATGAGGAACAGGAAACGTGCAGTGATCTGAGAGCGACATTGCCAGCTTCGGATCGGTCCGGCTTTGGATCGGTCCCAGCTTTGGATCGGTCCGGCTTTGGATCGGTTCCGACTTTGGATCGGTCCCGGCTTCGGATCGGTCCGGGCTTCGGATCGGTCCGGGCTTCGGATCGGTCCTGGCTTCGGATCGGTCCGGGCTTTGGATCGGTCCCGGCTTCGGATCGGTCCGGGCTTTGGATCGGTCCGGGCTTTGGATCAGTCTGGCTTTGGATCGGTCCCGGCTTTGGATCGGTCCCGACTTTGGATCGGTCCATTTCATGTATGGTTCACGCTCCGGGCTATTCTATGGCCTGGACTTCCCCCAACATGCCAGTTGTTTTCACGTGTTTCTATCCGGCATGCGGGTGCAAAGGTTTAACATTTGCCATGGAAACAGTTAATTATTACAACAATGGAAAATATGCTCTGGTTCATCTGAAGCTGCCATAAATTACACAAAACAATTATTTTTTTCGTTTCTTGCAGGATGGAAAGACACAGAAGTAAAAAAAATGCACAATAGCATCAGCCGCTAAAGAACCAGCTTTTCCGAATCCGTAAACACAGAAATTCTCACGTTTAACGCAGTTGCTGCGCAATATGGCCACTTACACTGGCTCTTCTGCCATCCAATCAATAGCTGTGTTTGATGATGGTGAAATACTAACTCATTACACTGAGAGTTATTTACTCTGCGCACCACACAGCGCCACCATAACCTGAATCATGAGCACTAACTGCGTCTTGTCCTTTGGTTTCTAGGCTTGGAGAATCTGTCAGATAGGTCCATGTTTCAGATGCCTTGACATTGAAAATGAGAGTCTTGTCTGTTGCAGAGTTATCTCCGCTGTCCTGTATGGGGCTCTCGCCATGGGGGAGGCCAATTCCTTTGCCCCCAACTACGCCAAGGCCAAAGTGTCGGCCTCCCACATTTTCATGCTGCTGGAGAGGGTGCCGGCGATCGACAATGAGTCAGAGGAGGGAGAGAAACCAGTACGTTAGCGTGGGTCACCTGAAGTGGCCTGACAGAGGCTCTGCTATGGCACCTCTGTGCTAAATCCATGTCTAAATACACAGTGACAGACAAAACACACACAGTGACACCCAGTGGCCAGTCCTGGAAAGGACTGAAGCACAGTGAGGGCTGAGCGCCCCTGTGTTTGGCTCTTTAAGCAGGAAAGACGCCTTCTTTTTCTGTCCCTTATTTAGCCCCACTGTGATGGGAACATCACTTTCAAGGACGTGCTGTTCAATTACCCCTCCCGGCCGAAGATTCCCGTCCTGCAGGGGCTGAGCCTCAAGGTGAAGAGGGGGCAGACGCTGGCCCTCGTGGGCGGCAGCGGCTGTGGGAAGAGCACCACCATCCAGCTGCTGGAGCGCCTTTACGACCCATGCCAGGGCTCGGTGGTAAGTGCTGACGGCGCCCTCTCCTGGCCGGAGGTCACAAGCCTTTCTGAGAGCTGATAAGGGTTTAGGGCTCCTTATGGGCCCTATTGCACAACCAGTGTGTCAGCCTGCCTCTCCTGGGAGGATTATCAGTCCTTAGCTCTGCAGCAGACAATGCTGATGGGATGCCGATGTGTTTCTGTGTGTAGGAGTTAAAGATTATCTCACGCATACAGACATACACAGACGCACACAAACCAGCCACAGACCTAGACAGGTGTGAGCACCTTACAAATCCCGTTATTTAACGGTAGATAAGTGATAAGGTTGTAATATTATGGTGTTCATGGGGGTAGGAACCAAGGAATAATGAATATGGACTAAATTAAAATATTACGTCTTGTCCCCCCCCCC